GTTCCCATGTGCGTCCATGCCATTAGAGCCAGAATTTTTGTCTGTTTTGTTCATAAATACATGGAAAGCACTCAATAAATATTTGCTGAAGGAATAAATGAATGCATGCCTGGACTTTATTCCTCTGTATTCACAGACTGAAGTCAAGGTTCATCATTGTTCTGTTTTGTTTTTTAGAATTATTTTTATTTAATTTCATTTATTGTTATAATTAAATTTACTATAAGGCATATATGCTCAGAGAGAGAGAGAAAGAGAGAGAGAGAAGGAAAGTGAAAAAGTAAGACATCAGGTCCAGGACTTGAACCACAGTCAGCAATGTGGGAATCTAGAGCCTTAACCACCATGACACTTGCTGGCCCTGGCTCATCCACTTTTTAATGTTGTTCTGATGCTATATTTCTAAGAGTTCAGTTGGAGCTAATGTATTTTCACTGCCACACAGCCTAGGAGAAAGATTACACGGTTTGGAGAGTGACAAGGTCATCCAGCCTCTTTCCCAGAGCTATGGTCGGCTCTGCAGACAAGCCCCTGCAGACGGGTGGGTTATGTCTTTCATACTTGACTGACAACCAGTTTCCAAGGAGTTTAACTGAGTTAAAAGGACTCCAAAAGATACAAACAGCCCAACAGCAGATATCCCAAATGGCAGCTAATCTGATTGTCCTTGGTGCTGGGGCATTCCAGTCTGTCATGGGTGGTGAGCCCACAGTCATGTGACGCCAGAGGGGCAGCTGCATCAATAGGTTCCTTGCAGGTCCGCACAGGACATGGCCAGAGACTAACTTTCAACTAAAGGAGAAGGAAAAATGGATAGGGAAAGGAAATGAAACCCTCTTGGACAGTGACGAGTTAAGACCAGGCCTGTGCTGGAGGGGACGAGTCCTATCACGAGGGCCCGAGTTCTTAGAAAGACCAGTGTCACTGGCCGCTCATTAGCTGGACGTCCTCGGGTGCAGGATAATCCACCCGGACACAGCTCCCCACAGTGTCCTTGGGGTCGGGGGTCAGTGTCAGGATGGTCTATGCAGATCTCCTGCCGGGCATCACAAAGCATGGGACAGAAAAGGGCTGCAAGTCCTCTGGGCGACAGGTGTACTCAGGAGGGACACTGAGCGGTCAGGACATCTAGCTCGGGCCTTGGCTCCACAGCAACCAACATGAGGTCACTTTGCCTCTTTGGGCCTCAGTTTCCCCAACTGAAAAATATCTTTCTCTAGGTCTCCTGTCCACGTCTGGCTCCAGCCTCTAAGCTGTGAGAGACACACAGTAAAGGCCCCAGGTTGTAGGTAAAGAGGTCGTCAGGGAGCAGGGGTCACCGACGTTAGTGATAGTCATGATGGCGGTGCAGTACCTCGAGGTCGTCAGTCAGTGAGGGCAGGGATTCAGAGGTCAGGGCACCCAGGCAAGTGCCTGGGCCAAATTCTAATGGCTGGAACTTAGGCAGATTCCTTTCTGTGAACCCCATCTCACCCAATCACCTGGTAGCCCTAAGGCCCAGGTAACCACCCTTCCCTCTCTGTCTCCTTTTAGCCCCCCAACCTCCTCACTTAAAAAATGTCCTTCTTTCACAGAGACAAAGAAGAGACCCCTGACCCCAGCCCTCCGACCTCTTCTTTGAGTCTCTTCTCACCTCCGATCTCTGCTCATTAGCTTAGCCTACCTCACACTGTACCTCAGTGAGAATGGCTGGGAATGCTCCACCAAACACGGTAAATGTTTGCACTTTACAAAAATTAATCCAGTGGGCCTTAACCCTGGACTGATTTCGGGCCAGGTGGACAGGAAGCTAGGGAGAGGACGCAGGTGGGGAAGTCCCAGGCTCAGGGGGCTCTGGACTGGGGCTGCAAGCCCTCGACTCGTTTTCACAGTGCCCTGACCTCCCGTGTGGAAACTGGCACAGTTGGATCCGCGTCATGTGTCACAGGCAGGTTACAAATAGCACCGGGGATTAGCAAGCCCATCCCCAAACTGCCCGTTCAAGGGCAGGGGAAGTTCTCGGTTTAATCCTGGCAGGTCATTGGTGGTAGAGACCAGGAAGGAGTTCTATGGCAAAAGAGGGCTGGTGCATACTGTGAGCGCAGAAGGGGCCGAGCTGCCCTGGCCGGCCTCCAGGCTCCAAGCTAGGACCTCAGAGCAGCGTGGCCTTCTTCGAGGGACTTGGGTCTTCTGTCCCGACCGAGCACGGTGTCTCCGTACTCTGTCGGGAGCTCTCAGAAAGAGTCCTGCCACAGGGTGGCGACCGGAACGCCAGGCGCCCAGTCTGCCAGGCCCGCGTCCACACCGGGAGGGGGCAGACGCTGTTTCTTCTGCAACCACCTTCCGCCCCCAACGGCTCTCTCTGGCCCCTGGGGGACCTTGGGCCCTGGGGCTCGAAGGGGGTTTTAATCTCGGCCCGCGCAGCGCTCAATTCGGGCAGCCGGGGAATGTATGTGTGGGAGAGTCTCCCCTCGCCGGCACCTGACCAGGGGCCTGTGGGCCAGGGAGGGGTTGAGGGTGCCTATTTCCTCCGATCTCTGGCGTGCAGGGGGAACCTCACCCAACCGGCCAAGTAGGCCAGCCCCGGGCCCCGAAGTAGCCCCTGGCTCTCCGCTCCCGCGCCGGGCGCGCCTCGAGCGCCCGGGGCGCAGCACCCGGTGGCGGCCCGCTGCCGCCGGGGCGCCCCGCCCCTCCCCGC